GGGCACAGGGGGTGACTCTTGGGGATGGGCCTGTGCAGGGCCAGGGGCTGGACTCGCTGATCTTTGTGGGTCCCTTCCATCTCAGCACATTCTGTGACTCTGTGATTCCTCAGTCAGGGCTCACTGATGAGCTCAGGTATTCCCTGGGCAGAGCTCACACCTGGGTGTGTTCCCAGCCCAGCCTGGCAGTGGCTGCACTCACACAGCAAATGGGATGTGGCCAAAAGCTTTGCTCAGCTTTTGCAAAGGGACAGAGAGGAATAAGGGCACAGGAACCTTAGAATCACACACTGGTTTGGGTTGGAAGGGACCTTAAAGCTCATCCAGTCCCACCCCTTGCCATGGGCAGGGACACCTTCCATTATCCCAGGTTGCTCCAAGTCTCGTCCAACCTGGCCTTGGACACTTCCAGGGATGGGGCAGCCACAGCTTCTCTGGGCAACCTGTGCCAGGACCTCACCACCCTCACAGGGAACAATTCCTTCCCAATATCTCATCTAACCCTGCCCCTGTCAGTGTGAGGTCATTCCCCATTTTCCTGTCACTCCAGACCCTTGTAAAATTGGGAGGTCACTCGGGATATGACACCAAAATGCCTTCAAGGCAAAGCAAACGGAAACCTCAGGGAAACATTTGGGCTCAGTAAAATAAAAGGCAGCAGGATGTGTGCAGATCATGGAGTGAAATCAGTTAACAGGGAATTAATGACCCAGAACTCAGATTATTGCAGTGTCCCACCTTTGTTTGTGTTGTGTGTGATTTCCCTGTTGAATGTCCCCACTCTTTGGATGCTGCTGTGCCCTTCAAGCCTTTATGTGTAACCATGGTATGCATTTGGTTCTTTCTGGGGCTGCCAGAACTCAGGTGCTGCCTCTGGACTGGAATTTCCTTGGATGTAGGGGCAGAGCTGTGCTGGGCTTGGGTTCCTGCCTTCAATCAGCTCCTCCCTTTTGCCTGGGAGATTTTTGTTTTGTGTTTAACAATGTGTTTCATTGCAAATTCCATGTTTTTCTTGAAATGACAATTGAAAGATGTTTCATAATGAGTTAGCTCTGAATGAAAATACAAATTATTTCCCCTGAAGGACATCAATATGAAACACTTCATCCGGAGTGGAGGGAATCACTTATTTGCTTTTCTTTCCCTTAAACAGATCAGCAAAACTAAGATGCATTAATAAAATGGTTTTGATTCTGCTGTTTTTTAAATAAAAAATTGAGGGACTTGCGAAATGCTGCAAATATCCAGGGGCCTGCCAGCTCCACTGCACTTAATAAGGACATTTCTTAGGGATTTTTGAATCCCAAAAATGTTTCTTACTTCCTGCTCCTCAACTCCATAACTCCAGTTCCTTTGTCACCTCTCAGAGCTCCTTCTTGGTGACTTGTAAGATTTGCAGGGTTGAGCTTTGAGCTTTCCCATCTGCTGTGGTGGAGGGAGAAGTGGGAATGCCATACAAGACATTCCTATGCCATTCCACTTGGAGCTGTCCCCACCTGGTCACTCAGCAGAGATGATGAGATGGAGCAGATGTGACAGGCTGATCCCTGGTTCCCCAGGGTGACTTCACATTTCTCTGGCAGAGGGAAGAGGATCATCCTCATAATAGTATAAATCAGGAATTTCACCTTAGCAATGATGATTTTACACTTGTCCAATCCTTAAATCCTTGGAAACAAATCCAGGGAGAGATTTTTGAAAAGCTGTTTCTTGGTTTGTTTGGTTTTTTTTTTTTTTATATTTGATCATCTGCAAGGAGGAGGAAATTCAGAGCAAGAACAGTTTAAAATGACAGTGAGGAATCAAGCATGTTAAGGGAGTTCTGCTCCTTCACTGCCTCATCTCACCCATGTTTTGCAGCTGTAGGAGCTGCCAGAGCTGCCAGTGCCATCAGGCTGGGCACAGGCACCAACCCCACACTGCCAACATGGCCAGGGGTTTGCCTGACAGCCAAGTGAAGCTTCCCATACTGCTCCTCCTGACCCTATAAAGCAGCCTGAGTGCCATGACCCAACCCCACAGGGGTTGTCTGAGTCACAGAATCCCAGGATGGTTTGGGTTGGAAGGGACCTTAAAGATCCTCTCATTCCACCCCCTGCCATGGGCAGGGACACCTTCCACCAGCCCAGGTTGCTCCAAGCCCCGTCCAACCTGGCCTTGGACACTTCCAGGGATGGGGCATCTCTTCCCTTGGCTCCTTTCCTTCCATTCCATGAGTTTTCATCAGCTCTCCTTGGGCAGAGCCCTCAGTGTGTCACAGCAGCCCTCGAGGTGTCATCTGGATGGTACTTTCCATCTCAGGATTGTTTGAAGCCTTGAGTGCTCCCTGCACCTCCTTCTCTTCCTCCTCCTGCCCTGTTTTTCCACCTCAATCACTCAGAAACCATCCCCCTCCATTTAGGTCCACATTCTGCCCCCAAAATCACAGAAGCCAAGTTTGGTTTGGGTTGGAAGGGACCTTCTCATTCCACTCCCTGCCATGGGCAGGGGCACCTTCCACTCTCCCAGGCTGCTCCAAGCCCCGTCCAACCCTGTTGCTGTGCCCCAGCTGTGCTGATCAAGTGCAGGGTTTCCCAACATGAACCCTTGGGCACAACCCATTACACCCCTTGCACACATTATTATTTTTATTCCCCTTTCCTGGTTCTCTGTTTTGTCCCCCTTGTACCTCTGCACCTCCACCCCAGTAACCACCAGTTGCTATTTCCCCATTTGCACCAGTTTTGCTACATATGCACCAAAATCTGGTGTTTCTGAGACAGGTGTATAGATGACCTTGGGCCATATATAATGTTGCAAATATGGTTATGCAGATGTTGCTGGTCTTGCACAGCTGTGCTCGCCACAAGTTCCCCAAGACTCCCTGCAGGTTACCTGGGAAGTCTGGCCATTCCTTATATCATTCCACCTAAAACATCCATGAAATCCAACCATCCTTCCCAGGACTGGCTGTAAATTTTGTCACATCTCACACAGCACTGGAAGGGGCTGCCCAGGGCAGTGGTAGAGTCCCCATCCCTGGAAATGCTCCAAAAACACGTGGATGTGGAACTCCACAGGATGGTGTAGTGGGATTGGTCAGAGGTTGGACTTAATAATCTTGGAGGTCTTTTCCAGTCTTAATGATTCTTAATGATTTCCATTGTGTGATGTCCAGCTGTTTTCCAAACCCTGCTCAGTTGGTGTAAGCACAGCCCAGACTCCTGCCTGCAGCCCTAACAGCTTCTCCTTGGAATGGTGTAACAGAGGGACAACTAGTCAGGCAACCACATGAGGGGCAAAGGCTTTCTGGCAGGTCCTCATGAGCAGAGTGTGAAAACTCCCTGGTTGAAGCAGAAAGCAGTTTGGCTTCTTCCTCTCTTGGTTTGGATCACACTTAGACTGTTCCACAGGGACTTGGAGACCAGGGCAAACCTGGTCAGGCGTTGGAATGGGATGCCCGGGACAGTGGTGGTGTCACAATCCCTGGAAGGATCTAATACTTGTGTGGGTGTGGCACGTTGGGACACAGTTCAGTGGTGGCCTTGACAGTGCTGGGTTAATGGTGGGACTTGATGATCTTGGAGGTCTTTTCCAACCTAAATGATTCTGTGATGAATCCAGACCAGTCCTGGGGGTCCTTGCTGTGAAATCAAAAGAACTGGAGGCTTTTGCTGGTGATGGTCAAATCCAGCACATCTGGAATAGTTTATGTCCTGCTTCTTCCACTGATCTACCTTCCTGATAAAGCCCCTTCACCTCTAGGGATGAACAGGGTGCTGGAACAGGATTTTGGAGCAGCTCTTTCAGTGGGGTGAGTGTCTCCAGGTCCCTGCACACCTCCAGCCTTGGCTTGGGCTGTGCAGCAGCAACACCATGGGATGGGGAGGGGATGGACAGGCCACCATGAGTGGTGCACGAATGGCCCTCCAGTTCAAAAAGGCTGATAGAAATCACTCCACCACCCTGGAGACCTTCCTTGACCATCCCTGGTAGGTGGGTCCCAAAGCTGTGCAGCTGGATTTCTGCAGAGCTTTGTCTAACAGGGCATGTTCCACCAGGCCCTTCTGGGACTGAACACACCCGGCCCTGCATTTTCAGAGTGGAACAAGCTCAGAGAACTGGGGTTATTGGCAGGGTGAAGGAGCTGCAATTTGAGAATGGATCGTCAGAGGAAACTTAGAGGTGTCGGCAAAAGAGTAAAAAAATGGGGTATTTCACACAACAGACCAGTTCTGTCCATCCCTGGCATGTCCTGGGTGCTACAGTCCTGTGGGCACCATGAGTTCGTTTTCTGCTCACACCTTTGGTGTTGCTGCTGAAGCCACACAGCCAAGCACTGAATTTGGTGTCACGTGTTAAAAAAAGGAAAAAAAAATAAATGGCAAAAAGAATCAAGGTGGAGCTTTGCAGACCAGATTTATTTGTGGGAGAGCAGGGCCTTGCCTGAGGTACAAGGAGAGTTGGGGCTGGATCAGTGGACTCTTGTGAGGAAAGTTTTCAGGGTGACGAAATGACATCACTCCAGGAACAGTCCTACATTAAATCTGACATTGCCCTGCTGTTTGTTCACCATGGGATGGGGTTTTCTGCACTGCTCTTGCACTGCAGAGTTGTGCTGGAACACCCAGAACTAGAGGGAGTCAGGGAAAGCTGCTCTTCCAAGCACTACAATGGATGAAGGAAATTTAAACAGGGCTCGTGTGCCCAAAATGCAATTTATAGATGAGCTGGTGTCTGCCTGTGCAGCCCAACTGTAAAGTCTGGGTGACCTCCTGATGTCAGAGAGAACAATCCATCCAGAAAGGTTAAAGGACTGGATTTAGATTAATTCAAGAGCTTGTCCAATAAGATAAAGCAGTAGAGTGAAGGTAAATATTTGCAGCTTTATTTGCTGGGAGATTAATGTAATTGGTTTGGATTCCTTCACATCCTCCAGCCTCTTCATAAACACTGCACACTGTTAAATGCTGCAATAATGAAGGCATTTTGTCTTCATCATACTGGAGGGCAAGAGGCAGGGGAGAGCTATTCTTGCAAAATATTAGCCCAGTTTTGCACACCCCAGAGGATCTATTAATTTAGGTTAAAGGCTCTGCATCTCAGTAAGAGCTGAGCTTGGGAAGCATGTGAGGCTTTCCATAGCACCACCTCCACCTCCTCTGGGGCTTTGCCCCCCCTTTCTTTCTTTTTTTTCCATTTTTTTTCATCTAGCCAGTGCAGAACTTGGGCACAGAGTGACCCAGGCTGATCCAGTTTGTCTGGATCACCTCCCCAAGGGCTGCCAAGTAGGGCTTGGAGTGCTAGGAAAATTCCACAGCTCTGTTACCAGGCACCACTTCTCTGAGAGGTCCTGAATCCCAGCTGTCACATGATAACTGATCCTAAAAAATTGGGAGGTGAGAGAGAAGGGAGAGTTTGATCCCAGTGCAGCCCCAGTAACCAATGCAAGGTCTCTCTGTTACCTGTAGTGGGACAGGAGAACATGATTTCTCTGGCAGGAACTCAAGATTTAATGACTGGACGTGGCACTCACTGCTCTGGTTTAGTTGTCGAGGTGGTGTTTTGTCAGAGGTTGGATTAATCTTGGAGGTCTTTTCCAACCTTAATGATTCTATGATTCTATTCTATAGAAGGGGACCAGAGGCACCTCTAGAGACCACCCAGCTCAGTGCAGGTTCCTCCAGCACTGGTTGCCCAGGACTGTGTCCAGATGAGTTTGGGATATGACAAGAAGAAAAGCATTTCTCTGTTTAAATGGAATTGAAATTGCATTTTGGTTTTATATTATTTTTTTTGGTCTTTTCATTGAGCACCAATCCCAGAATCCCAGAATGTGCTGAGTTAGAAGGGACTCACAAGGATTGTTGAGTCCAATTCCTGGTCCTGCACAGGCCCATCCCCAAGAGTCACACCATGAGCCTGAGAGTATGAGGAGAGTCTGGTTCCATCTCCTTTCCCCACTTCCATCACTGCTGAGTCTCTACAGCCACAGGGATTTTCTCCCTCCCTCTCTTTGGCCAGGGTAACCCCATCCCAGCTTCCTCTAATCCAAAGAGATTTCAGCTCTGTCCTTCAGAGTGTTTGGCTTCCCAGCCATTCCCTGTCCTCCCAAGCCCAACCACGGGAAGCACAGGTGGACAATGGCAGGTGGGACACAAAGCAGCTCTTTCACAGTGTGAGCTGTGGCACAAGTTGGGGTCTGGGTGAGGGAAGAGCAGCCTCAGCAAACACCCAGGCCACTGTCTGGTGTGGGCCTGGGTCCCACCCCCAGCTCACCCCCAGCAAGGGAATCTGTGCCACTACGAGCAAAATCCACCACAATCTGTGTGTCTCAAAGGTGGGAGAGCCCAGGACTGAACCTGCTGGTGTTTCTCCAGCCCATCAGGACAGGCCATAATTACCTGCTGCTTGTTTTCATACCCACCCATTCAGGGGCTGCTTCAGTGCTCAGAGAGCCTTGAGTGCTCTGGGGATTATTTTAAACACCCACTTGTCTGTCTCTCTGCTCTGTGCTTTACTTTCCATCCTGCAGAGGTTCATTAATGGGGTCCTTCACTGACATTCACACATATTCCATGATTATTGTTATAGAAATGACACTGCCCACACAGGACAGCAATAATGATCCATGGCTCGAGCAGCTCTTGAAGCAATTCCCAGCCACAGGTATTGATTGGGTGGGTTTGGCTCAGCTATTGAGGAGGAGCAGAAGTTGTTTATTGCAAACATCACACAGCTACTCTGGTGTGGGAAAGCAGAGTTATCCCTCGAATTCTACTCCTCTGGAGGGTGTGAAAGTCAAGTGCAGGGGACGTGGGGAGCTCATGGGGCTGGAAAGGATGTGAGGAGCTTGTGGAGCTGGAGTGGACCTGGGGATCTTGTGGGGCTGGAGGGTTGGTTGGCAAACATCAGGGGTTCAGGAGGAGGTGGGACACCCTTGTAAGCCAAATCTGGAGGAAGTACCTTTCCTGACAACCATCCCCACTGTTCAGTGGCCTCACCAACCATTTCCACAACACCATTTCTGGAACGACACCAGGAGTGCCCACATTAAAGCTGAGTGGATTTTGGCTTTCCCAGTGCCCTTTCTGAGGGCACTCAGAAGGACTCTATTGCTACAGTAGTGTCTGGATGAGATGATTTAGTGACCAAACCAAAACACAGGTCAGATCACAATGTCTAAACGGCCCTTTGTCCCCTGCCTGTGCCACCACCCCTGCTGGGACCAGATGAGGACTGGGGAGGAGGGGGCTGCTGTTGTAGAGCTCCTGTCTCTCAGCAGTGATTTTTAGCTCTAAAAGTCTCTACTTCAACACATAAGTGGATGTCAAGACACAATTGTCACATCACCATTTCCAAGCTTGCGTTAGGTGACTGTCTTCTGCCTGCAATGTGGATCACAAATATGCCAGAATGTGAACATAAGGTAATTTTAGGTCTGTGATTTCTTTATAGAAATTACCATCAAATTTAGATCTGTTGCTGTCAGCACAAACCACCCACCCAGGGACCTGGTTTTCCTGAGCTATCACAGGCAGCGTTTCCCTTGCTGTAACTCCCTGTGTGTCCCACTTCCCACCAGCAAAGGAGTGTTCTGCTTGGTCAGGAATCTACTATGGACCCACCCAGTCCCATCCAGCCCCACAGCTCCTCTTGGACAAGAAAGGCTTAGGAATAAGTGCATGACTTGTGAAAGCACAGAATTCTCTTTCTCTGTCTCCTCCCACTCACAGCAACAAGGAATTCAGAGATTCCTGCTCCAGCATTGTACCTGGACTCTCCTGTCATTGTTTCCTCTCTGATCTGCTTTTGAATTCTCTGTGCTTTTATTGTGTTTTCCCCCCCTTTTCCCTTCCCATGCAGTGTTTCACACTTTAATCAGGCACTGCACGAGAAAATGCTTCCTTCTGTTCCTTTAAACTCCCTGCAATGATCCCTTCCCTGTACGGCCCCTCACACCTGCCTTTGACAGAGTGTGAACAATGTGTCTGCACTCCCTCCTCTGCCACTCCCCAGTGCAGAGACCCTGCACTCCTGCTTCATGCACAGAACCTCTTGTGACGTGGCTTCCAATCAAAGCCATAAATCAGCATTGACAGAGCTCTGGAGCTGCAGAACATCATCTGTTATCTGTTAGTGCCAACAGTGAGTCAGGAAATAGAGCTGTGTGGACTAGACAAGGACAGGAGCTGTGCCTTGAAATAATGGGGTCTGAGACATGGCTGAAAGGTTGGACAGCAGCCAGACAAGTGCCAAGGGCTGGTGGTTTCAGCTCTGAGTTTGTGGATATCTCTATGTTGGATGTCAATATATCCTGGTAATGGAACCAGCTGGACTGATCAGCTTCCCCTTGGAGTGTGGTCAGTGATTTAAGGCAAACCCTCCTTTTAGGATAGAATAGAATAGAATAGAGTAGAATAGAATAGGATATGCTGAGTGGAA